CATCAGGTTTGTATTCTTCTGTATAAATGCAAGTTCAGGAGGTAGAATTTGAGGGTAGCATGAAGAAGAAATCTAATTGAGCAGGTGCACCCGTAGGAAGTTGAGAATGACACATTAGCAATGAGCAATCACAGCAAATCAGCTCCAGCATCCTCCGATAGGGAGCCACGCCTTTCTTGCTGATGACGTTAACAGTGGAGAAGCTTCAATGGCACTGCGAAAAATCATGAGCTAAAACGACGGGGAAAGTTTGGATGGCAGAATTTATCTATCAGCCTGTAAGTGACCAATAAAAGTTTTGCTTTTTTGGAATTTAAAATTCAACAAAGACCTCTAATATTCCAACATAAAATTTCTAGAGCAACCTTTGATCAGTGCACTTGACTTACACTTCCCCAACATACCTAAGCAAGGTACCTAAGCTTAGCCACAAGCTTTGCTGAGGAATAGACCTCAGCCTCTTCTGCTAAACACTTTCAGAGCCAAGAAGATACATCCTCTTGTCCTGTCTCACATGGGAGACAAACGTCTCCTCTAGCACTGCTTGCTGTAGGTAGAGGTTTGAGTCATAATCTGCCTAGGCTCAGACTGAAGCAATTAGTTTGAATCTTAAACTAAACATTATTGTTGGAGTGAGGTGCACACTATCCCTTCTGAGGATGTAGATGTTGGCCTCTCCCCGAGTCTGAATTCCTGGCTTTGAGATAGTGCCAGGAGAGACGCACGTACGCCCCACGCAGGACCCCGCAGAGAGGGTGCGAAGGGACAAGCTTGACGCTATCTAGCTCCTGTCATACGGATTTAAAAATGAAGTGACTCAGAAAACTTTCCTCTTCTGTGAGCCAAGTGAGGGCTTTAACCCTTGGAGGGAACCAGAGTCCCGGTGGCATTCGGCAGTGGACCGCAGAGTGTCCACCTGGGGTGGAGAGGCCGGCAGGGGTCCAAGGGCTTAGACACCAGCCAGGCAGTGAGCAGCTCTGAATCCCCAGCTGGAGGACGGGAGGGGCTCGCGGGGCGCGGGTGAGCTGGGGCGCCCTGAGGTGACACTGGGAGCGCCTCCTGTCAGCCAGGGGCAGGAGTCAATGCTGGGGCGGTGCCTTCTGCGTTCAGAAGCACCTTCGCTTCCATCCCCACAAGCGCACACAGGAGCAGGGCTGCGCTGCGCACGCTCCTGACTTCCCGGGCCGGGAGAGACTCGGAGAGGGTCCGTAACGCACGGTCACGCCTTTACGAGTGTCAAAGCTGTGACCAGAACTTGTCTTTCCGTGTAGCAGATGCTTTCCCTCAGGAGTAGGAACACGTGCCGTGAGGTCCCTCGAAACGAGGTTCAGGAATTATTTGACATGTAATATATCCCCATATATTAACTTAATTTTAGCAGTTATATAAATACATTGCATAAATATGTCAAAGTTAGAGACCGACTTTCCAATACAGAAAAAAAATTGCTTTTTAACCTTTTACCCTTCTCTTCAGCTTCACACTGGATTTTGTCTGCCATCTAGCGGAACTTTGACAAATTACATGTGAAACTGCCCCTGCAGTAGCGTTTCCATCTCCACATATCTCGAATATGTCTCCACCTTCAACTACACTCTTAAAGTATTTTTATGCATAGTGTTATGGTTTATGTCTGCATGTCCTCCCAAATCCTCATGCAGTCATGGGGCGGGCTTCTAGATTTTTGATAGATCAGTAATGCAATGCTGGAATTATGGGTGTGAGTGTCACACCCACCCTGGGGTGGGTAGTTTGTAAGGGAGGGAAGGAGGCTGCTTGCCTCCACTCCTCCCTTGTGCTCTTGTTGCTTTGCTGTCTTCCACGGCCATGAACTGTCTCCCTCTGCCATGTGCCACCCTGCCTTGGAGCCAGCTGAATATGGACTGAAACCTCCACAAACAGTGAGCTAATAAACCTTTCATTCCTCAATTTTGGGCATCAGGTATTTTGTCTCCACAACAAGAAAAAAAATAACTGAGTCACATAGGATTTTTATTTCAAGAAGTAGCTCCATAACCCTGAATTTTAGTGCAATCTAGTTCTTGACTATGATTCTATATGACCAAGAATAATTATTTGTTTTTCTCTCCTTTTTAAAATTTAGTTCTTGAATATCATGCTATGTAACCTAGGACAATTATCTTTTTTAGTTCCTGTTTTAAATGCCCATTTATTCCTCCAGAAAGTGAGGTAAGAGTCTCTTTTTACAACAAAACTCTGTCACTGTTGCAGTTTTATTTAGTAGCAACAAAAATTTAAAAACATATCAATAGTTTCCCTCTGTTTCCAAGCCATAACTCAGCCCTACCCTTTCTGGACTATTGATAAGGCTCAGGGAGCTGTTGGAGGTCAGAATTATGTGGAAAATGAACAAACGATGGAGTACATATCATCAATAAAAGCAGCAGAATCCAACTGAGAGAGCCACTGAAGCTACAGAAGAGCAGTGTCCATAGATGCGTTTATGAGTCATGCGAATCACCATATTCACTCTGGGCTGACCCTCCTCCTCACCTGGTGAGGAGCACCGAGTAAGGTGCTGTTCCCTTCTGCCAGTGCAAAAGCCAGAGGGACCAGGAGTTCGTGACGGGATCCACCTCACAGAGGCAAGAAATAGTGGAAATGAACTAACATTGAAATCAGGATCAACTGAGAGCTTTCAGGAAATGGAGATTTTCAGGCTTTGGCACTAGAAATCTAGGATCACAGGCTGCATTCCGGCAAGATCCTCAAGGGACCTGGTGTCCCTTAAAGGTTGAGAAGCACCACTCTAGCCATCAACCCCCCACTAGACCAAGCTGCCTTACCAAAGTATCTAAAGAGCCTGGTGGGCTCTCAGGAGTTTTTGCTGAGATTCAATCTGAACAAAACCCTAAATGTAGAAAAACATGGTCACAAATAAGAAGGAAATATCAAAATAATCAAACATCAAATATTCAAAATGTAAAAAGTTTTGCATAATTCCAATTAGATTATTTTGAAAATTTATTATTGCTTCTAGAGCAAAAATACTAGTTTTGTTGTTTAGGAAAACCATGCTTCTAGGAGCTGGGGATTTAGCTCAGCGGCAAAAGCGCCTGCTTGGCAAGTGCAAGGTTGTGAGTTTGGTTCCCGGTACCGGAGAAAAACCAAAAAAAAAAAAGAAAACCATGCTTCTGTAACATTTTATTATGATCAGGATAAGCTTTAAGACATCTAGAACTATCAATGTAGAAGCATTTAATTCAAGTCAGTTCCTTCAATTGTTTAAATTGTAGGCAAGACAAAAGAAATTCATTCAAGCATCTACTGGCAGAACTCAGTCTGGGCTCCTGGTCTCTTTGAAAAATAAATTTTATGAGGAGCAGGAGAAGTGGCTACTGGGATTGAAAATAATCAAAATATGTTACTCGCGTGTATCAATGTACCAAAATGCATTTCATACTTTGTATCACTAATCTGCATTAATAAAAAACATTTTTATATGGTTCATGTAGGAGATACAGCATGATGTTATGGGATACAGAGACTAGAATGGTTTTATAGAGAAGTAAATTAACAAATCTATCATTGAACAGAGTTACCATGTGTTTTGTTTTGTTTTTCTGGAAAGATCTGTAAAATCTGCTCAGCACGAATTCCATGTGCAGGACAACTCTATGACTTCAACCCCCACGCCGTACATTCACTCTGGAGACTTGTCTAACCCACATGTCTGCCACCTTGCCGTTGCGCTCTCCACAGTAGATCCTTCCTTCCTGCCTCCTGCCTTTGTCCTTTGGTAGCCACTGCTTCATCTTTTACCTACATGCAGTTGAATGGCTTTTAGATCCCCCATACAAGTGGGATTATCTAATATTTTCCTTTCTCTGCCTTACTTCACATTGTATAATATCCTCTAGGTTTATCAATTGTCTTAGTTACTTTCTCATTGCTGAGACAAAATACCCAACCCCCGCAAGTTAAAGAAGGAAAGGTTTGTTTCAGCTCACAGGCTGTAGAGGTTTCAGTCCATAGTCAGGTGGTTGCAGGGCAGAGGAGAAACAGTCCATGGCAGGGCAGGCAGGCAGCAGCTTCACACAAGGCAGAAGGCGGGTTATATGTAAATATACATGGTTAAAACGTTGCCACAGGTGAACTATTAAATTTAAAGGAATACTAAATAATTAGCAAGATATATGAGACATAGAGCAAAGACTTTAGAAAATCATGGCAGGCAATTAAAGGAACATTTTGTGCCCAGCTTCCACAAGGTTGACGTGTCACCCAAGAGCATGGTGTGCGGCACTCTCATTTGGGCAGTGCAGTCACTAATGCAACGCCTCACATGTCACTGGGAGTGGGAGAACAGGGAACTAACTTTTAAATACTGAGCACTTTGCATGTGTTCCTTTAGTTACGTGAATTAAATGTGTGGCCAACTTATAATGACTGAAAAGAGAAGCCAGGAAGTAAATTATTAGAAATGAGAAATAGGGCCAACAGTTTTTTTTTTTTTCTTTTTAGCATGCTCTTTGTGCCTAAGTATTTGTGAGTAAATGGCAAATGACCCACAGTCATAAAACTTTGGCAAACATTGGAAACTTTTCCTCTGTGATTCATAGCACATTAAAAATGCTGAGATGCCTTACACAAAGAAATCAGGTTTGTGCTGTTTACTGACTTTATCAAACATTTTATCACAGAGCTAGAAAATGGGTGTGTTGTAACAAAACCATCAGCCTGTGGTGTACTGGGAGAGACAGTCATCCTTGGGCCTTCTTGATTTCCTGCATGTCTTACTGGGTGTTCCCAGTTGTTCCTTACTTGGCTTCCTCTGGGTTGTGTTTGCTGTACTCACCCTGGAGGGGTGAAGTAATGTCTCACCTCCAAACCCAAAGGAAAGGAGCGTTTGCTTGTGGTGAATTCTTGCAAAGTGCTGAATTCTTGCAACTGTGTTCCTCACCTGTGATAGAAAGCCACGAACATAACACCCACCAGCGCTGCACTGGATCCCCCAGTGAGACACAGGTTAAGAGGAACTGACGGCAAAGAAGCCAGATGCATGCTTTCCACCGCACAGGAAGGAGCAAAGGCCTTTTTACTGAACTGTGAGTACCAAGGACTTTGTCCCTGGTCCAGGACTCTTGCGTCTTCTGCCAAATCCATGACACAGTGTAGGACAGTGTATTAGCTCATGGTAGGGCAAGTTCAAAACCAGAGCACAATAGTAGAGTGTTATTTTAGTAAGTTTTTAGCACTTTCCAAAGTTTGATTACTCTGAGGAGTATTTACAGGGCTGTTAATTTTAGTTGACAAAAGAGAAACCTGAGTTATTAGACAATTAGCGCATAGTTGTTATGACCCACCCAGGTTCCATGGTTTAGACTTACAATGTCCTGCAGAAGTCTCACGTATGCAGAGATGGGTGTTCAGAAGGTGAGCAGGTTGCTGTTCTCATCGGTGGACTCATCCACTGATGAGCCCCTGGCCGACTGTGTTGTTCGGAGGCAGGGAAGGCTGGTGGTCGCAGGGAGTACGACCTGGAAGGTGTGTTCCTGTCCCTGGCTCCTCGTCTCTCAACTGGCCATGGACTACACTCACTGAAACACAAGCGAAGTACACCTCTTCTCCTTGAATCTATGAGTATCAGCTACTTTGTCCCAGTAGTGGGAAATTGACTGATTACCAAATTATAATGCCTTAAACATTTGAATACTTATTATATTTCAGTTAATGTTGAAGCACTTTTTTATATGTATTAACTTATTTAATCTTCTAAGTGTTTAATTATGGAGGTAATATACCCTAAATTTTAGATGAGGAAACTAAGACACAGGAGTTAATGAAGCTCCCAAAGTCACATGGGAAGTAGAGTTCCTGGAATTCAAACCTAGGCTGGGAAACCAAATATCTATCCACCTCACAAAGGAAAAGGAAACATAACTAAAATTCTTCAGATTTATCCACTAAAGAGACAAGTACAATTACAGCCCACCCTACACTTTTATCACTAAAGTTGTTGGACAAGCTACAAGTGTTGGTTGTGTGTTGACTCATTTACTGCCATAGAGCCTATATGGCTTCCAGAGCCTAAAATATTTTCTACCTGGTCCTTCACAAGAAGTTTATTGCTTGCTGTCTCAGTGGATCATGCACATGTTATGAGTGATAAATACCATATTCAGCATGTATATAAAACAAGTCAAAACTCAAATGTAGCTTTAGTACTTGGAAGTGACCCCTACTGCTAATATTCACTGAACTGTGAGAGTTGTGTTTATAAACATTTCTATCCTATAGCAGTGGGTTCAAATTGTTGGCCATAAATGTTTTTCTGATTCATAGTGACATTCCTCAAAGCCACACAAGAAGCTGCCCGTTTCACAGTGACCTCACAGACATTTCCTTTCCTGCAGGACCTCAAGCCCATCTATGTCTTTTTTCTGGCAACTCAATCTTCGCAGCCGAATGATTTCACAGAGCTACTAGGAAATGGTCACTCAGGTAAATATACTTGCCAGTTAGGCCTCCTGTGTGTGTGAGATTTATAATGTATTTAGCAAGCCTATGGAATATTTTCTTTGTACTTTGCATGTTGTTACTTTAGACACACTTGTCAGACTCAGGATAAGAACCATAGTGTGTCCTCCACTTTTAATGGAGAGCCTCCTTAGGATCAGCTTTCTCCAGGTCACGGGTCCCAGGATGCCATTTTGTTGAGTTCAGTGCACTTTGGAGTGTGGTTTCTGTTGCTTTTTAGCTGTGGTTAGTAGGTTCTGACACATAGAATAATGTCTTCTGCCCCAAGGGTCCTGCTTTCTCTGTGGGTCTCTCAGAAGTGAGGTCCGTTTGGTAGTTGAGGTGATGCTACTGTAGACAGCAGCGTCTACAGTGGGGTCACTTTCTGTTGACCTCTCCAGTCTTGTCAGTATGTGGCAGTTGACAGGGTCTGGAAGCAGCCCACCGTGTGATTCCTCCTAGCTGCAGCACCCACAGTGTTTGCACTGCCTCTTTGTGCAGATGCTAAGTGATGGGTGCTCAGGGGCAGGTCTTTGAGCCCCTGCTACCTCGCCTACTGGAGGGCTGGGCACCGGCAGGGGACTTTTGCCTCTTCTACTCTCTAAGCTGGGGCATTCACTGAGGCATAGGTAGGGTGGGAAGGGGGAGCTAGGTGCTGCTTCTCCTAGCTGCACTGGGACCATGGCACAGCAGCTGAGCTCTGATCCAGTGTGTATGGAGTGCTGAGCTCCATTTCCGCACCACACAGAAACAATCACAGCCAGGACAGAGACAGGCAAACCAGATACGGGAATAAAGTCGAAACCAAGTCACACGACAACATGGGACCCATCAGCCATAGCCGGAATGGTATGAAAAATAATACAGAATAAACAGAAAAGTTGAAAGACAACTCCAGTAGCTGAGAAAACAAAAGCAAGAATTGAGACTTTGTTACACTGAAACTTTCTGCACATTACAGAAGGTAGTTGTTAGAGCAGGGATAATCTAAGAAGGGGAGAAAATCTTTGGCATGTACTCATACTGACAACATCTAAGATATAGGGAGAACTCAAAAAATATGAGACCAAAACAGCAACAATACGATCAACACAAGAACAAATCAACTGGACAAATAGGTTCCTCTCAAAAGAAAATGTACAGATGGCCAAGAAGTAACATGAAATTACATCTTTAGTCATCATGGAAATGCAAACGAATGTACGTTGGGATCCCACTTCACCCCAGTCAGAACAGCTATTAAGAAATCAAAACACAGCAGATGTGGGGAGAATCACCCCAGAGGCTGTCAGTGCAGGAGAGCTCTGAGGAGCTGCAGTGCGTGCACAACGGAGCCCGCGCGCAGCCGTGGAGAGAGCGTCATTTGCGTGGTGGTAGTTGGTGCGGGGAGGTGGGCGGTATGGAGACCACGTTCAGGGAAAGAAGCTGGTTTCAGAAAGACACATGTGGCCCATTTTCTCACGTATGAGGATCCTGGGGCAAGAAAGGGGCACAGGAAAGGAGGATGCGGCCTGTGAGGGAAGGAGAGTGGATCTGGGGAGAGAAGGGAGAGAGTGTTTAGGGAGGGTGGATGCAATGGAAGCTCCACATGCATGTATGGAAATGTTGTAATTAAATACTTTAATTTGTGTAACAATTTCTAGTATTTTATTATAAAAATGTGACACACAGAAAGACAAGCAAAATGGACAAAAATATCCACCAAAAGTTGCCTCGATATATTAGTGTCCTTCCGATACCAGCAGGCACTATCCCCAAGGTCTTAGAACAAAGGTCCTAAAATACCTCCAAGAGCAATGTATGATTATCAGTAACAGTGTGTTAATCAATTTATAATCCACAGTGAGCAGCTAAGGCGAAGGTTTCCAAGCAGGACAGTGTGCAAAGAGGGTGGAATGAGCCTGGGCTGATGCTGGGGTACGTAACAGCCCCCTGTCCTCTCTCTCGCTAGGGCATTGAGCATGCTGAGACCAGAGTTTCAGTTTGAGGAAGGGAAACCAAAATACAGAAAGTGCCTGGCACCAGCGTCTGCTCTTGCACTGGAGAGACGGAGACACACAGCTGGAGCCTGTGGTGCTGCCGTAGTTGCTTGTGTTTGGTGCGGGTTACCATCAGCAGAGGAGTGGGCTCTGGGTCTCACACACGAACAGTTCCTGCACTCATTAACGGCCCCCGTACATTTGGTAATTCTTCCCTCTTTTCAGCAAATGCTGTACTCTATGCCTAACATGCTGCACTGGCCACTGCTTCCCCTGGCTTCTTCTACTCTATGGCCTTTGTCAACAGTGCTGAAAGTTCTCCCCTAAAAGAGAAAACATAAAGAAAACAGCAAAGCAACACTGCACACCCCAGCCGGACGTTCTCTGCAGGAGGACTTTCTCAATTCAAATGACCCCGTTGACCATTTACCTTGTCACTGTGCTGATGGCCTGGGGTCTCCTGTACTTTATCACACATGTGCGACCTGTGAGCTACCCGTGTGTCACCTGTGTGCTCCGCAAGAGCTCCCTGTGAGATGTCCGTGTGCTGGCGGCAGGACTGAGGTGGGAAGGTGTAGGGAAGCTACCAAATTGTTAGCCGGTATGGGTAGCTTCACATGCTCATAGGACTATTATTTTGAGTGATGATCCAGATAATGAATGAGAAAAGATCCAGCACCAACATACATTGATATTTTAAACAGGTTCCAGAAATGGGAAAGATTACAAGGTCCTGCTCCCACATGAAGAACAAGAGATGAAGATACTGAAGACTTTCTTACAATGTACAGTTCCATCCTAGGGTTCACCTGCCCATAACCAAGTGGCATTCTTTAATTCATTGGAGGTGTGTCATAGGAAACCACCGACCTCTCCCTACCCTTCTCCCAGTTCCAGGGGCCCAGCTTTCCACAAATGCCTTAGTTCTCACCTGTGTGGACCGAATGTCCAACCGGGAGAGAACAGCTACAAGCTTGGTTCTTGGAGCTTAGACACATTCCAGAGCTTCCTCCCTGGCCTCGGCAGTCCTCCGTAACTCTGCGGGCAGCTCTACCATGAGTCAGCACCCTGCACTCGTCTTTGTACCTTCCTCTTGCCCCTGCTCCCAGCTGCAGGTGTTTGGTAAGCATGTACCATGCACTGTCACCTAACGTTTTTCCCAGCAAAGCTGAATAACTATTATGACATTCAATGTAATCTGTGTCATATACAAATTACTAGATCCTGAAAAGTCCCTTCAATCAACTAGACTATTTTCTTTTTAGATTAACTGTAAGAAATATCTCTAATTTTAGTATTCATTACCTTACCTTATATTCTACTTTACATGCAACAAATATGAATATTTGTCATGAACAACATCAAGCATGTCAAGCAAATAACAAAAGCTAGGGAGTATAAAGTTAGTGCCACCTTGCCCTCCACTCTGCCATATAGATTAGCTTTATTACTGTCTGAAAAATATCACTTTGCAAGCTCCACAAGGCAAATGACAAAACGTGGAGTATTTATAGCAGTATTTTCAAGTCTGATAGATTTCCTTTCAACTCACTGTGCTTACGCAGCTTTGATCTCTGATGTCCTCCTATAACAAATCAAACTAATGCCAGCAACAGGTCAAATGAAACACTTGCTGTTAGTCCCGCTTCAACATGACTTCCATTAGGACTTTTCAGGGATTTTGTGTGTATTCTCATTGTGAACTATGATAAAGTACAGGTTCTGTTCAGTTGGTCTGGGGTATGTTTGAAATTCTGCATTTTTCAGAGTCTCAAATTCTGAGCTCCTGGCTCACAAGTCACGAAATTAAGGCACCAAGACTTTATCACATCTATACTTGTCCATGCCATGTCACAATTCTTTTGCACAAAGATACCGAATAAAGCACTTCTGAGATGTGCAGAACAAAGTCATTGGGATTGTAGGAGAGTTGAAAATGGAAGTGAGAGGTAAATAGCCCATGAGTAGACAGAACCAGCTAATATAAGCAACAGGGAAGTCAAATACACTAGAAAATAAAATGACAATATATTAACTATTGTTATTCTCCTGTTTTACTTCAAAAATTTTATTTTGTTTTATTTTTTCCATAAAACAAAAAAGTAAAGAAAGTGAAATGCAGCAGGACTTTTAGAATAGCAAAAATATTTATGTTTATGAATTTTTTAATGTAGCTGCTGTTGAGCTACAGAAGGAGAAAGTATTCATATATTTGACACAAATATAACAAGTAAATTATTTGCAGGTTCTTAGTGTAACTCAGTGCAAATAAATTAGGGGTAAAGGCGTAGATAATGTTGGTAAATGCAGAAAACCGTACTGGGCAGTGTTTTTGTTTCAGTTCAGAACACATTCAGACTGGTAGATAGGCTGAAAGAAGCAGGTAAAGGGGGAACAGCTACAATACCATGACCATAACAGACTTCAAACTAAAGTTAGTCAGTTGGCTGGAAAACACCTAAAACGAACTCCAGCCACTCAGGTAATTATAGTTCAGACGCTGATGAGCTATAGTATTAACAGATGGCCTGCATCTTACCCTAAATTGTGAGGATTTGCACACAGTGAATTTAGAAAGACAATCAGTGTGTTTGAAGTTGTAATTTTGCCCAATGCAATATTCTTATTTCTCCTTTCTTCAGGAAAACTGAAATCTGCATAGGTTATTTCATTTCTTCACGTCCTTGTAGGCAGTAATATACCTTAACCAGCTTTCCTATGTAAGTGTCTGTAGAACTAGACCATTTTCAATCATACGTTATGAGTAATAGTTCCAGATTTGGGGAAGATGCAGTTTGGAACATAAATGTGCCTCTATCAGGGGGTACAGTTTTTCTATGTAATAAAGTATACATATTCATCCTGGAACAATTGCAAATATAGACATATTTATCTTCTCTGAGCACCATTTACTTCTTACCAGGGCAAAATGGAAAGTTGCACCTTGAATATATTTCCTAAATCTCTGTACTCTGACACAAGGCACACACATATGCACACCCAGATCAAAACTCTAGGTTTGCCAGGCATGGTGGTGCATGCCCATAATCCTAGAACTCAGGAGGCTGAGGCAGGAGGATTGTTGTGGGTTTGAGGACAGTCAGCGGTACACAGTGAGCTCAAAGGCCAGACTGCACTACTTGGGGAGAGAGAAAGAAAAAAAGAAAGAAAGAAAGAAGAAAGAAAGGAAGAAAGAAAGGAGATTCAGTTTTGTTTTATTCAGTTTTTATATTATTTTTAATTGACAAATAAAACTATGTTTCTTGTGTACAACATTGTTTAAAGTGTATATAAAAGTATGATCAAAATTATGGTGAATGTTTAAAAATACAGAGTCCACTAAAAAAATGTATACATACTTCAGCAGTTCACCATACTAATAAATGTCTGGAAGCTCAGGGCCACCGCTTTGAGCACCTCTTATAATTGTAGAGACCAAAAGTAACTTGTATTCCTTTTATGATATCTCAATAAATTTAGTATTAAAAGATTTATATAAGTTTTTCTTTTCCTGGTGTATACATTTTTGGACAGACTCTATATTACAGTAAAAGACACGTTTGCATTAATCCCTCTCACAATATTCCCCCTTGACTTCAAACACATTTATCCCATCATTCCTGCCACTTCCTGAAGCAGCTCTGGAAGTCTCCTTGCTGAGTGTTTTATGATAAAAGTACAGTGGTGCTACTGCTGAGTGTGAGCCACTGGAAAGGCAGGCTCATAAGAATACAGTGGTGAGTCCTCACCCACCGTGTTCTCACATCCCGTGTCTTGTGACTCCTGGCTCTTCCAAAGGCAAAATGACCACGAAAGGTCAACACTGTGAACTGACTCAGGACGTCAAGGCAGCCACAACAGGCACCTAGAACACTTGTGTCCGGACTGTTGTTCCCTTATCAGTGTAGAGTTCGCAGATATTTTCTCCCGTTCTGTTGGTTTACTGATTACTGATCGTTTCATTGATTATTGATTATTTCCTTGACTATACAGAAGCATCTTAGTTTGATGGAGGCCCATGTGTCTACTTTTGCTTTGGTGTTGATGCTTCAGAAAAATAATTGCCCAGATCAAGGTCCTGAATCTTTTCCTTAGGATTCTTTCTTCGTTTGGTAATTCCAGGTGTTATGGTTTATATCTGTGTGTCCCCCCAAAGCCTCCTGCGGCCCTGAGGCAGGCTATTAGAGTTTGAATATGGGTGTGAGAGCTGCACCCGCCTGGGAGTGGATAGTTTGCATATGTAAGGGACAGGAAAAGAGTGCTTGGGGCATTCCTCCCCCACTCCGCCCTGGGGTGTGGGTTCTGGTAGTCACTTAGCTGTGCTGCCACCCTGGGATGCAGCCCTCTGCCACATGCCACTCTGCCTTATAATCATGCCTAGTACGGATTGAAACCTCCACAAACTGTAAGCGAAATAAACCTTTCCTTCCTTAATTTTGGTCGTCAGGTATTTTGTCCCAGCAGCGAGAAAAAAGTAACCAAGACACCAGGTTTTGCATTTAAGTCTTATGCATCATGCGAGGTGTGAAGTAAGGGTCTCATTTTATTCTGAAAGTGGCTCTCCAGCGCTCTCAATATCACTCTTGGCGGGACAGTAAAAACCGAGCTGGCTCTGGGTGTGCGGGTTCATTTCTCGGCTCTCTATTCTGTCCACTGGCTGCTGCGTCTATTTTCATGCCGGTGCCAAGCCTGCTTTGTCTAGCACAGCTTTTAGCACTCGTTGAAACCAGGTACTATGCCGCCACAGCTTTCTTTTGGCTTTAGGTTACTTTGGCTATTTTATATTTCTATATAGATTTCAGGAATTCCTTTCATATTCCTGTGAAGAATGTCACTGATAGTTTGAATTCTGTTGAGTGTGTAGATCAGTTTGAATAGCGTGGACCTTAAGCCATGATAATTCTTCCAATCCATGAACACGAGCTAGCGTTCCCTCTATTTGCATCTTCCTTGCATTCCTTCAGAGATATTTCGTAGTTCTGAGTTTACAAATCTCTCACGTATTTGGTTATTTTTTGTGGTATGGGGGGTTGAGTCCAGGGCCTTAGCACTGAGCTACATCCTCAGCCCTTTTACTTTTTATCTTGAGGCTGGGCAATTCAATCACTGAGTTACCCAGGCAGATCTCACACTTGTAATCCTCCTGCGTTAGCCTCCCAGGGTGCTGAGATTATAGGCATGTACCTCCATTCCTATTGTATAAATGGGATTTTTTTAAACACTTCCTTTTTCAGGAAGTGAAACCTCTTTTTCAGGTAGTTTGCTGTTAATAAATAGACTTGCAAGTCATTTTTACGTGTTGATTTTATATCCTACAAATTAACCAAATTTATCAGCTCTAATAAGTTTTTGGGGGGACATTTTTGGGTTTTCTCTTTCTGAGGTCCTGTTATCTACAAAGAAGGATAATTTAACTTTGTTTCTAACTCGGATGCTGTCTTAGTTGTGTTCTTATTGCTGAGACAAAATACCTAACACCCACCACTTAAAGGAGCAAAGGTTTATTCTGGCTTATGGATTTTAGAGGTTTCAGTCCATAGTCCGCTGGCTCCCAGGAAGGGCAGCAAGGCACAGGGGCATTGCAGAGAAGAAACAGTCCATGGCACGGCAGGCAGCTGGCTAATGGCGGCTCAAGAGATGGCGAGGAATATTCTACACGGCCTGAGCCACTGCTTCTCAACAGGGTTCACCTGCCTACATCAGCTAAGGAATAAAACCATGAGGGGACTCATGCGGTCCATTGTATCACTCATCTGTGATGCAACATCGTTCCCCAAAGCCCCTCTGAGTGCCTGAAGCTTCGGGAAACCTCTGCGTACAAGCCATAACAGATGTATTTTTCTTTCTTTGACTAATTCCTCTAGACAGAATGTCCAGCACTATATTAAAAGGAAGGCATTGGTATTTTTGGCTCTTAGAAGAAATTTTTCAGCTTTTTCCCACTAAAAAGTCTTTTGAGTATATTCTTGTTTCCCTTTATTATGTTGAAAAATGTTCCTTATCTGCTTAATTGAAAAGTTTGCTCATGAAAAGATAATTGAATTTCATCAAATTCTACCTGTTCATCCAGTGAGATGGTCCTACAGTTTTGTGTTTTTAACCTGCTGCACCTCCCTTAATGCTCTGTGATTTATTTTAGTCACCCTTGCATGCCTGAGACTGGTGCCATTTGGTCACGGTGAAGGACGCATTAATTCACTGTTGGATCAAGATCACTAGTGATTTGTTGAAGATTTTCACACCTACATTAACCAGGAATATTTGCATATAGATTTTGTTGCTGTGTCCTTTTCTGGTTTTGCTATCCGGCTAGTGCTGGCCCCATAAAATGAGTTTGGCAGTGTTCCCTTCTCTCTGAGAGTGTTGAAGATTTAAAAAGGACTGAATCACTTGGCATTAGTTCTTTAAACGTGTGTTGGAATTCAGCTGTGAATCCTTCCAGTCCTGGGCTTCAGTCCAGGGGTGCTAACTCCCAGGTACCAAATCTGCAGATTTTCTAGTCCTTATAGAATATGATACAACATCTGCTTATAACATGTGAAATCTTCCTTATACCTTGCTATTATGTCTAGATTGTTTGTAATACCTAATATAAATGATAGGTAAAGAGGCATAGTGTTTAGGGAATAAAAATATCTGCACATATTCAGTTCAAATGCATTTTTCCTAAATATTTTTGATCCACAATTGGTTGACTAGATGGAGCAGAAGCCCTAGATTACAAAGGAATATTGCATTTTTGAGTAACACATTGTCGTGTTTTTCTATTTTTTTCCTGTTTGGTCAGATCTGCCGTTTATACTCTCTACTCGCATTTTTTATATGTTCTGGTATTTTCAGCTCTGAGATCTTTGTTGTGCATTGAATGTGTTAAATTTTCAATCTGTTCATACATTGTTTCCTCATCTCTTTCAGTGTCTCTGTTGTTTGGAAGTCCTCTGAGCTTTCCAAAGCAGGTATTCGGAATTGCCAGACGGCCTACGCATCTCCTTTTCTCCTCATTGCTCACTCTGTCTCTGGCACTGTCACAGTTCCTGGTTAGTTTTGACCCTTGTGGGTGAGCATCCATGTTTGCATATGTGGAGCAGATACTTCTTGCTGTCTTTGTTGTCAGGATTTTCTGGGAATACCCTTCTGAGGTCAGCCTGTCCTGAGACTCTGGCATGCCATCTGGTGTGGTCCCTGCATCAAGCACCTCTGGCGATGGTGGTGCCTAGGGCCAGCACTACCTATGCACCTTGCTGGCATCAGGTGGCCATTGAGGCAGGGGCAGCATGGGGCTGGGTCATGTCTCAAGCTCCTCTGTCTTTGAGTATGGTCATGATAGTCTGCAAGTAGAGCTGCAGGCTAGATGCTCAGTCCCCCTTGCAGGGGCCTGGCGCCTCTCCTGGGCCAGGCAGTTCTGTGTGGGATAGCCCTGAGTCACAGTGGTGCTGTCTGCCCAGTGTGGCTTTTCATTCTAGTACACCTGCTGCTAGGGTGTAAAGCACAGCCCCATGCTTGGTCCACCTCCAAGTGGCCAGCGTTTCTCTGTGCTGTGCTGCCCACGTGGGAGGGGTGTTTGGGGTGATAGACAACAGTTCTTCCTACTCTCCCAGAGCAACCTGCCTTCTGCCTTTCCTGCACCTGGCCTTTAAAATTTCTGACCTGGATTCCTGAGTGATTCTGAAGGTGTCTTGTGGGTGTTCTTGCTTGTGATGTTTCTGCAGAGGACTGATTCCTAGAGGTGTCCTTCCTCACCATCGCGCTCCACCCTCTCCCTCAAACCTGTGGTTCTCATGTGAAAATACCTTCTTTAAAGAAGTATTTCTCCTACTGGACACTTTGATATAATCTCCCTACATTTCTGTACAGATTATCTTCCCTCTTATGCACATTTTATAGAATTTGAGGAAGGAAATTTGGAAGAATGTCAAGGAATAGGAAAGGTATGTATTTAAACAATACTAAAGACACAAGTCAATCTTTCCTCCAGTGCTGCAGGGCACCAAGTGAATATTGATATGAAGCAAGAGCTGAGTCAGGATTGGATATGCAAAGCTCAAGCGAGGTGGAGATGGGCTTCTTGAATCCTTTTCTTTTTCATCAGGACAAGTTTGCGTATGTAAAGTTTATGTTCATCTTAGGGAGTAGGTGTATGCAAATAAGAGCCCAATTCTTTTCAACAGTTTCAAATCCATATAGCTCATTTTTTCCATTTGTTAAGATATTTTAAAATGTCCTTTATGCTTTTTAGATCAAGTTACCTACAAATATCTCAGTGCAAAGAGAATAGACTTGAACTACGAAGGGAGACGTTTACACACTCATCTTTCAAGTCAGTATCTCATACTGAAGTCTTCCCTCTTCCAATTAAAAAGCACAAACTATATTTTGAGTGTTTTCAGAGATCCTTTCAAAGAGGTGGTCTCTTAATTTCAATGGGAATTTTCAACATTTACTCTGACAATTTGTATAAGGAGGCTAGTTTATCTTTATAAAATCTAAACAGGTGAGCTACTGTTCATTTTTTCTGTATCCAAAGTCCCCTTTTCCATCACTTTTTTGGACCGCTACTCCCTCACTGCTGAAGAGAGCAGAAAAACCCATTATTTTGTCCCCAGTGAGAAACAACCTGAGTCTCATCACTGTGTACAAGATGAAGCCAAATGTCTTGTTTGATTTTTGCTCTTCCCTCAATTGGCTTACAAAATAGCCTAGAAGTAAGGCTTATAATGGAATTCAGAAGGAAACACAATTTCAGATAATATACTGGAAAGGAGAAAACCAGGGTTGATGCTTTGTAATGCAAAAGAAATTGGACACAGCTTTAGAATTTTAGGAAGCAACATTTTAATGGTTGAAAACAGTCCTTCCAAAGTGACTACAAAAGCAAGAAATATTACAACAAGAACGTTTTGATGCACATTCTACTCTTTGTGATAGCCCATACAATAATTCCTTTATCAACATTAACATCTCTTAATACTATATCTGCATTCTGAGGTTGCCACGTATAGGTTGGAACTGAGCAGAAAGACCAAGTTGACTTAGACTTCCAGAAGAGCTAAAAACCATGGAAAATAAGAAAGCCTTTACAATATGAAGAGCCGAAGCTGACTAAAAGATGATGTCCATTTGCATGAGTGATGAAAGATACAAGACCATGGTCATGACGTAAAATGTGGTTACGTTATCTACTGTTGCTGTACGAAGGGCTCAATCAAGAAAGAAACCAGAATAATGCATAACGAGTGGCTCAGAGCCTATCATGTATCTTCCATTACTGAACATCTCAATATCTGGTGCTTATGTAAGGTGATGCAGTGACGGTCCTGAGGTCTGTTGGTGGCAATCAGTCAGGGCAGTCCAGGTATGACACGGTTGCCTTCTGCCGAGGGGAGCAGGAGTCCTTCCAGAATGTCCACTCCTGTGCTGAGTTCAGCACCAGGGAACAAATCCATGAATCTGAACCAAAGAACAATTGGTTCATGCTAGAAACTGAAAGCAGCTCAACTGTAGGAAGTGTTGGTTTTTGTCCAAAGTATAGACTTTAATGGCATCTTAATCCTTTTAAAATGTGCTGTAGCTTAGTACAAAATATATAGATAGAGCGCCACCATTTCTTTAACTAAAAGAAAGGATGTGTTTTGTAAAAATAAAGCATATTAAATCTCCACATCGTAGATCAATACTACCAAAGGTCTTGACATAGCTGGTACATACATGTAGACTCGTTGACGACCTGTAAAATAGAAGGACTGTTATTACTTAACAGGAAGCAGTGGAGTAATAAGATAGAAATTGAATACCATATATCCAAGATACGAGATTTCCATTATGCAGCCCAATTTCTTAAGGAAAGTTCCAGGATGAATACTACCCATAAGACATGTTCCATTTCAAGACACAAGGACACAACAACAGGCTGCTTCCTGACTCTTCAGAACAGCAGATAACCAGACAAGGGGAGCTGAGGAAGTTTGCACTGGAGAAGCACCCTGCACCCTAAGACCACCTTCCATGCAGAGGGACGCCTGTCCATATTCGGAAGGACCACTGATGCAGTCTGAGATACAGTGGATAAAAAGCCCACTTTGGTTTACCATCTTCTACAGAATTCCATCCTGTGCATCTAGCTCCTTACTTTTGTCAGTTACTCACAGAATGTTCCTAGATATATAACTTCTGGAGTATTCAAAACTAGTAACTCTAATTTTAGTAAGTCAGACAATTGGTAAAGAAGCAGTTTATAGAGGTAACAATTTTCCTTGTAACAATAAATAGCAAAACTAATATGTATTTAACAAAGACAGTCCAGCAACTGCCAGCTCCTGTAGCCATGTCTGGGTGAGAACCATCTGACACTTCCTTAAGTGATGATGAGACTTCGCACATCACTGGACACAGGACGTGGAGGGGCCACACTGGCTTTGGATAAGATGCTGCCAGTGCATCTACGTGCAGCCTTCCTGTTTACATTAATATTATCTTAATTCACTTCCATGCCTACTCAAATGTACATTTCATATTGATCTCCATCTTTTACTGCATTTTGAAAATTCCTTTGCTTTCCCTCAGTCTACTTAAATCTCCACAATATTTAATTTTACATAAGTCTTTAGTCAGTGAAAAACAATCTACTTTATGTCTTTTTGAGACAGGATCTTGCTGTGTAGTGCAGGCTGGCCATGAGCTCACGTTGTGGCCCAGACTGGCCTCAAACTCACAATGATCCTCCTGCCTCAGCCTCCCTAGTGCTGGAATTACACGTGTGCACCATCACGCCCAGCTTACTTTTTTTGATTTTTTATAATTAGACCTAAATAAGCATGCAATGAACAAGACAAGTATCTTTGTGCTAGTTAAACAGGGCTCAAAATCATTCTGCTCATTCCTGCTGGAATTAGAGATGCAGTTTAGTAATCTGTTTAATATTTCAGAACTTATGTACTCACTCAGCCTTCATTTGTGTCTAAATTTATATTAAGAACCTCAAGTATTGGAGTACTCATTAATAAATAATTGGCTAGATGTGCCCAGAGATATGTATAGGCCAGCATGTAACGTAATGTGTAACTTCGTAAGATTAAGGAAACACTAACATTAGCTACGCAGTATGTGCTGCTGAGCACACTTACTCATTTCAGACTCTTCGTTCTGCATGCACAGTAAGAAATCATGAAGCCGAGAAACATCACAATCCCGACACTGAGTAAGGCGATTTCCACCAGGCCAAGCATTTTTACTTTCCCAGTCACTTGCTTCCGGAACATTTCTGCTTTCTTATCGCCAATAGTACCAGTCTGTAATCAAGTTAAAAATGAGAATTACTCAGGTAGGTGAGTGAAACAAAACGTTGAAACCCTCTAGGTTATCTTTAACATCTGTGCCCATGTTCGTGCTCTGTGTCCCAAAGAGAACCCTGTTCAACCTTTTCTGCATTTCAGTGGAAACATGCCAAATGCCATACTAAGGTCTCCGAAATATTTCACCACTGTCCAAATGTTGCCCATTGAGAGGACAATGACAGAAGTGGACAGTTCCACTTGCTCCACAGCTGTACGTGCTGCACTTTTCCATTCCACACTGATCAGCACAGTGGTTTACATGAAAACAAGCACATCAGGCAGTGAGCTAGGCTGCCTACACCTCACCTAAGTAGATCTTTGTAAGCATTGCTGATTTTATTAGCACTAGTCCACTCAGAGAGTTTTGATAATTTTCTTGCTGTTATATGCATGTCTCTTTCCTAAAACAATGACAAGAAGTCTACGTAATAGACACATTTTAATGTAATTTTAAGTGCTTTTTTCTTTCAAAAAGAAATTCAGAAAACAAATATTTCTCTTTGATTTTCTCAAATAGATATAATCAATAATATGTAGGCTCCTCTATGAGCAATGGAAATGCACACAAATACTAAATATACATATGATTTTGAAACATTACAACTTTTATGTAATAGTTGATCTTTTTGAAAAATTAAAATACTAACCTCATTAAGCCACAGAATGGGCACAATATAATTCTTCTGCAGGTTCTTTAATGCACTGTAATAAGTATTGAAAATAATTATGAAAATGTATACCAATATATTCATAAATATTTAACATTTTAGTAATTAGGGTAAATAAGTTTTCAGAAAATAGTTGCTTTTGATTTTGTTCTCTAGTAAATACTTAAAATTTAATGTTTTTCTCAGACTTTTCACTCCTAAATCTTTCTCAGATTTTTAATTGGATTTACTTTTTCTAGACACACATTTTTTTCAACAAGTTCTGCTGAGAATAGTAAAATATGACCTAAATACTACTGCAGTAGGAAGAATGGGATGTCTAGTAAAATAGGACCACAATAAAAGTGAATTAAAAGCATTCCAAGATATGAAATAAATGTGCCATTTTAGTAAATATTAGACAGGACTCTCAATTATCATGAGCATTTAACAGGCACTGTGCAGTGACAAGATGAGAAGGTGACATTTGATATTCTCTTCACCTTCTTAGACTTACATTTTTAGAAGAAAATAAAAATTAGAACAGGATAAATGTTGTAAAAGAGACTCACTCAATCCTTGGTGCTGGCTTGACCAGTATGTTGACCTGTAGCCGTTTTGCAAATTGTAAAGTGAATCCAGTTATCTAAAATAGAGAACAAACTAAAAGAGTTACCAATATTTTTTAACAATATTCAAAACTCACTTTTTCTATGTCAGCAGAGAAGTTACTAAGAATTAACCTGAAAGGACCATTGGAAGCTTGTCCAAATTGAACCTGTCAAATTTTACACACTGATATTTAATCACTTTCTATGTCTACATGTCTAGACACACAATGTCCTTCGTCAATGTAACATGAAGAGTCAAATTGTGATGTTTACATGAAATGAATTTGAGAAAAAATCAGTAACAGTAGCAGTAACAAAATGGAGCTACTTAAATTCCTAAACTGTGTGTGATGAAATGTTTAGTTAGAATCCATGTTAGTCTTCTTAGAATGCTGCTGCTTATTATTTTAAAGAAAGAAACATGATGCTAAGTTCTAGAATTTAACTTTTTATGGCTGTGGGGATTGAACCAAGAGCCTCAGATATGCTAGGCAAGCGTGATGCCTTGGAGCTGTGTGCAGAGACCTCCACTAAGTTTTGAAAAAGAGAATAAGGATTGACGCTGCTGTATTGCAGCAATTGTTATAATTTTCTGGACACTGAATACACTAGATTTTGCCCCAAATTTATGAATACTCATAAAACTTTCAATTCCTAATGGCATATAAAGATCCTCTCATGAAAATACCTGTAGTTAAGTGCAATACAAGCAATAGTAATATATACATATCATTGCAAGCCAATTAGGCTCATTTGCATCATTAGATTGCACATCAATGGCTCATTTTAAAAGCTTAGGAAGTTCGATGTGCTTCAACTAAAATTGAATTTTCTTGACATTTATACACCACAATAAGAAAGCAACATAATTTTCACTGAGATATGATCAATAAGTATGACAAAATTAGTTTAAATTTGTTTAAAGAGTACAAGGGCAAATCAAAAATATTTGCTTACGGGCTCAACATCCAGGTATGTCTTGTGTTCTTCTTCATTGGGGCTTAAACCTTCAATTGGTTCTGAAATATCAGGGCTTGCATGTAGAAAATGAGGAAGTGAAATATACACAGGTTTTCCTGAAAACAAGTTTTCAGAGGCAATTGGAACTAAGTCATCTTTGTCTTTTACATATCACTCAAGAAATATTTCCTTAAACATTATATTAAATTAAAGCAGAGTTGATTTTGAATATTTCTAGCAGGTTCCTAATGTGCAAACGAAATATAAAATCCTACTAAACAAGTCAGTTGATGTCTGCCATTCATTGTTTAGGTGTTATTTCTAATATGCAAAGCTTAGCTACTATGGGCAGCTTTAAATACATGTATACATACATATATACATATGTTCATTGATCCATCCATTCATATTTCTGGCAATACATGCCTATGGACTGATACTTATAAGTATTCTCATCCTTTTTCATGCACACCCATTAGAGAAGAATGAATATTAGTAAAATCAGAAGGACTGAGCTGTGTGCATGTGACAATTCCTGCTGCAGAGATATACTGAAAACACTTTTACTTGCCACTTTTTTGTTGCCAAAAAGAAAGCTAGAACAACGGTATGTGAATTACTTAGCATGCCCAGTGTTCTGCTTCCCAACACTGAATGCAAGGGAGGCCTCAAAAGCCCTTTAAAACCAGCGCCAACATTCCCTGCCATAAATGCTCAGCCATTATTGCTTTAATTTTAAGTTTTGGGTAGAAAGAGATGCTGGGTACAGGTTACATGTTAAGGACCATTTCAGACTATGTCATAAACCACGATAGTGCCCATCCTTACATACCGTCTTTGCAACTGCTAATGTCTAGCACACCGTATGATGTACAATTTCTTGAAACAATTCTTTCTGTGCAGAAACATTCATTTTCTGGATTTTCAGATGGAGCTGCAAAGGCCTTGGCTGGAAGAACAAATCTGTACACAGGGATTCCTTTCAGGTCAACCTCAGATCCAAAAATAGCATAAATTGACCTAAATAGGCAGAAAGGAAAATTTTAAAATTTTACATGTTTATCTAGTTCTTAAGAAAAAAGTTTTTGTAAAATTTTAAGATTTGCCAGAACTCAATATCTGAGTATGAAATATTCTTACTTTCGTTCTTAGAAACCTTTGAGGACAAGTTTTCCTTGTGCCCTATCCTGGAGTATTTATACCGAAGATCCTTATTCCAGTTCATTTCCCTTATAAATTAAATATTTGTGACTTACATCAAATTCTTTACTTGTACACAGTTTAAATGAAAAAGATTATCTTTCAGAATTTCTCAGTGGAGAGAGGTCCCCAGCTGGCTGGGAGCCTGGGCGTGTGTATATGTGCCGTGTATTTATCCCCCTTCACCATTCACCAAGTGTGAGCAGGACCTGGATACCGTGCCCAACCTCAGAACATGTTTGCTTTCATCTCCAGATAAGAGCAGTATTACTTCACAACGTTATCAGTTTTGCAGATAAAAGATTCAGAGAAATTAAACGTTTCCCCACAATCTGTCTTTAGGGGTAGGCTTCAAAAGTAGGAGTGTGTGCTCCGGGAGTAGCGGGGCCCAGCAGTGTAGAAAGATGCCACAGTCTTAGGACAGGTCTGAGTCAGGTGCTGTCTTCTCTGGGTGTGGTCAGTAAGGTGGGGCATCCCATCTAGCAATGACTGTGAGTACCCTCAGCATTTATGAAAAGAAATGAAAAGCTGCCCTTAGGAATGGCAAGGAAAATGGTTTGTGTTATAAAAAGTTGAAACATGAAGGGCGTTTTGAAAAGAGTTCAACATTCTGCATTACCATATTGATGCATTTACTTGGAAGAAAGTGAGAAAAACATTTCCTAAATATAGTTTATTTTTCTCAGATAACACAATTACATCAGGGTTTCCTGGTCTTTATTCTATCAGAGTTATTACACCGGTGTCACTGCCTTACCTGCAAATGTCAGAGGAGAAGAATCGCAATATTCGAGACTTCTCAACGAAAGGTGGAAAGGAGGCCGCATCTGTTTAAAAATCAAGCCATTTGTACGGAATTAAATGTAATACGCATGCTGGAAGCATCTGGAGCTCTATTGCAGCTTAGCGAATAGAAATGCAATACGAACCACCAAATAAATAACCTAAAAATTACCTACTATTACAGTCATTTCAAAGAAGTAGATATATGTAACTCAGTATATCCAAAACACTACCACTTTAGCATGAAATCAATCACAGTAAGCTGTTTTACATATTTAAACTTCAGTGCGTTTGTTCACACATAGCACAATTGGATCATGCTGGCCAATTTTCAAGTGAGTGCATCATACACCACATGGGGCTAGATGCTGTCACGTCCAGGGCCGAGGATGTAGCTCAGCGGCACAAGTGCTTGCTTGGCAAATGCAAGGTCCTGAGTTCAATTCCCAGTACCAAAAAAAAAAAAAACCAAATAGATGGTATCATGTTCAACAAATCCACATACAACAGTCATTGGTATGAAATGAAAAGTGGTACAATCAGATGTTAGTGCTGTGGTTACGTGTTGTGAAAGTAGCCCACCCATTAGTGAAAGGCACTCTCTTACCATGATGCTAATTCATAACTGCTAAAATATCAACAGTTTTATTTTAACGGTGATTCATCCACCCTCACTAATGGCTGCATACTATTTTTAAAACCATTTTAAAACCCATGTATTTCCTCTCACTAAATAGAATTTCCTGTAAAGTCTTTGGAAACATACCCATATAATTGAAAGGGGAGTTATGGAATTTCTGGTGCAGTTATAATCAACAGCCCGTGCCGAAGTGCAGAAATAACTGGATAAGGCTTCCGCACACTTCTCACAACCATCCCCAAATGAGCCGCCCCGGAATGCATTTCTTTAAAACAGTAAGGCCTGTCTTTCAAATGCTTTCCACATTTTCTTTCTGTGAGTTTTCCTTTAATTCTGTGTCTCTGTCGTCCTTGATTTGCTCACTTGCGAATTTTGTGACAACAGAGTTACAAGGGTCTGGTGATCACCATTTGATCCTGGCACTGAGGGAGCTGAATATTAAAGTTGAGCTTAAATGCCCCATATTGCCCCCTAAATGGGTACCTCCTCCTTAGCATCTAAAGGAAAATGCATTTAAAATCATTGTAAAAAAACAGCACTGGAAATACAACTATGTCCTGATCACAACCAACAATCACCATGATCAATGACTTAAGATCATTGATAATATCTTAAGCTTTTTTTTTTTACAGAAGATACACTCTAAACGTGCACTAATAGTTTCATTTTACATCTTTGTACAGTTTTTGAAAATGTACTTTAACAAAATTGAATCTTCTTGTTTCATTAGACTTTTTCCTGGACCTGTTACCAAGCGAATCTCACAGGGAGCATTCCTTTTGCTACCACCCAGCTGCCTCTGTTCCGAACTGTTTTGTGTAATTTCCTCATACATAGTTTAACTTCATGTCTGGTATTCAGGTATTCAGTGTTTCACTAGTAAACCTCTTAATCTTTGTCTCCTTTGTCGAATCTATTTACTTAACTTTGGGCACAACAGTTTAATGATGTTTTTTCTTCAGCTCACAAAGAATTCTGTACTATTTACAATGCATTTGTCTTTGTCTCTGAGGACTAAATCTCACATAACCATGTTTGTAATGGCAAGGCACTTGACAATTTGCAGAAATTCTCATAGACAGCATTACTTTCATGGTTCAAAACCCTACAGAATAAACCCAATGGTGTTTTTACTAGATTTTTTTCCCCCTAAAAGACAGTAATAAAACTAAACACAAAACAAATCAATCATGCCTGAGGAACAGTAAACATCACCTGTGCTTCCTGTTATTTAACTTTATTCATCTTCATTATATCGTTTTTGTATAGCGTATTCCGTCTCCTACTTCGTAAACATTAGGCTTGTGCTTCAAGGTGTTGAAAGCTCATCTTTGATTTTAATGACCTCATGGTATTTGATTCTCACTGCTTTTCAAAATCTTAATTCTTAAGCTAATAGATATGTACTTTTCTTCAAGAAAAATAGTATGCCAGATCTAACCATAACACTACATAAAAGATGTTAGTTCATTTCCCCCAGTTATACTTCAGAATGCTCTTGCTCTCACATACTTTTCATGGTTATTAGACATCTCACCTTGGTAAGCATTCTTTTCTTTCTTGTCTCATTTTGGTGACTTGTCTAACATAGATGGATGGTTCTGCTATGCAATCTCACCAAGGCTTTCTCAGCTTTGAATCTCACTTAGAAGTGTTTCTTTTTGTAACTTTGTTGATTTTTCAATTCTAAGTTACTTATATAGTATTCAAAAGATTTGACTACTTAGTTTCCTTATTTTTGTTAACCCCTTATCTCTGTAACCAAGATGGTAGTCCATTACAGTTATTACAAAGCAAAGGTTTCCTCAATTCAGTAAGAGCTAATCCTTTACAGTTAAGCTTGAGGAATCCTATCATATCATGGAGACATTTACTAAGCTCACACAAAAACAGAGACAATTTTGTGGCAGTTTAAGACTCAAACACATAACCTCAGGGCTGGGGATTTAGCTCAGTGGCAAAGCGCCTGCCTGGCAAGCACAAGGTCGTGAGTTAGGTTCCCGGTACCGGAGAAAAACCAAAACAAAAAAACAAAACAAATCAAACACATAACCTCAGTCTTCCAAATGCCACAAGCTCTGGTTTTGTGGAAAAAGGTGCATTGCTTCACTGTGATTATTATTACAGAACGTCTTACCTGTACCATTAATCATGTCACAATAGCTCTTCCAGAAGCCGAGATTCCTAAGGAATAAAAAGATGAACAAATATTTTCATTTCAAAAGCACCTTTCTCACATTACTTTTCCTATTGTGATTCATTGCTTCTGCTCTCATAATGATGATTAGACATGACAAATGCTAAGCTTAAAAAATGTTCTAATTCATCCACCTATATTTTCTTTCAACCTTTTGTCTTACTGCAATACATTAAGTACCTGATACCATTAAATGACCAAGTCATAAAATAAAAACTATTGAGTGATAATTTTATCACAAAAAAAGTTGGGATAGACAGGGTTCTAAAAGAAGAAATTGAGAAACATTTATCAGAAACGTGGATCTCTACTTGGAGAACTTTTTTCCAGTGAGAACAATGATTCCTGGCTGTTGAGTGTTCATACTGAATAGGAGAGTATTCAGCGGGGTACTGGCCTGACCTCAGTATGAGGAGATGGACAGGAGAGACAGGCAGAATGAAAGAGAAGGTGATTAGGTCCAGAGAATCCAAAACATGTAACTTCAATTTTCAATTTCTGCCCACTTAACTTTTGCATGGACAGGCACTAAAGGACAGAGTTTATTAGTTTATGCTTTAGTATCTAAACAAATGCACACATTCATTCCCTCTACAAACATACATCTCATTGTATGATCCAATATGTGCTTAATATTTAGAATTTTAAGAATTATCACAGTAAAGGACACATGGCCATTAATTCCCCCTCACAACACTCTTCCTCGCTTCAGTCATCTTTATCCCATTGTGGTTACCACCTTCTGCAGCAGTTCTGCAAGTCCTGATATGTTTATGATAAATACACTGAATGCTTCTGCCAACTACCATGCAATGGAAAGGCAGGCTCGAATGTTACCATGTGCCCTCACTCAGCTTATTCCCAGAATCGGGTGCCATGTGACTTCTGACTTCCCCAGAGTCAAAATGTCCACGCAAGGGAAATGTTTGCAAACATTTCAGGACATCAAGGCAGCCAGGACAGCGCAACTAAAGACACTTACGAAAGAGGATTCCAGAACTGCTTCAGAAAGTGGCAAGAGCGATGGATAAGTGTGTTTAAAATGAGAGGTAATTGGTTGAGAGGGTCCATGCCAATGTGTCTTATTATAATACATTTTTTAGAAATGTAAATATTCACTGTACTTTGTGATCACACCTTGTATATGCAAGTGATAAACAGCAGTAATAATTTCCCTGCATCTCCAGACTTTTTTAGTGATAAAAACTGTTTCTTACTCCTAACATTATCTAATGAGATAACACAAGATTTTACATCATCCTTATGCAGAGCTGGTAGTCTTGCTCAGTACTGTCAAAAGGAGTCAAATCAATCTTGTTATAAAGTGACACATAATTCTTAATCGAATGAGAAACTTTTAACAGCTGTCCTCAAACTATTCCACTATTATAATACTGCAATGGCCTTCATCCTTTTATATAGTGATGTGATTTCCCTCAAAATAAACACCAAGCAGTGTTTGCTTTCCTGCCTCAACTTTTCTATAAGATCTTCATGAATTCTTCAGAAGGAACATGTAGCAAGTATTTAACTGTTGAATGGCATTATTAGGGACTCAGTTTGAGGCAATAGTTGTATTAATAAAAACATTTCATCTCTTTCAGTTTTGATCTCTTTCGTCTTTGTCGGGACAAAACTGGTCAAAAGGACAAGGACTTCTCCCCTTATCTTTATTACTGTTCTTTCTCCTTATGCATTCCTAAGTTATGACTCCATCAGATGGCCAGACAAGAATGGCTTTATGAAATTATTTTGTTCTTTCAACACTTCCAAGGTGGCATTATCCAATCCTTCTCACTTTCATGAATGAGGTGAGTCCACTATCCTGCTAGCTGTGCAACAAGATGTAAACAGTCCTTGTCATTTCTCTGTGAAGGGAACCCACAGCTGAAGGCAAACGAAAGCCTAACCAGGGCCCCTGCTCAGCCGTGCAGGCTGAGCGCTGGCCTCAACTTGCAGATCTCAGGGCAGAGGGACTGAGATCAGGCAGAGCAGCGGTGTCCCAGCCTGATCTTCTCCATCTCTGTCCCAGAGGTAGGTGCCTGAGCCTTAAGAGCTTTTAAATACTACCCTGCCTAGAGCAACTCAAGGGCACAATTTACCTGGATACTTACTTTTTGTCTTTGTAAGTGTCAATTATGGCCACTTTGCTTATGTTGTCTTTTCCATTGAAAACTTTATAAACTCCATCTACAGTATTGTTATACTGGAAAGACAAAAAATTATAGAGTAAGTCATTTTCCAAGTTGTGACAAACTCATTCATAATTATATATCACTTGAAATATATAATGTATTAAGAATTTTTAAGTACAGGATTTTCAGTTTTTTAAAGGATAAAATATAAAAATTGTCTAGAAATGAGTTTTAGATGCTGAGGGAAAGTAAGAAATGAAACATTAAGGCTGAACTGACCCAAAATCCAACATAATCCTAATGAACCAGTGACGTTACTGGGGTCACCATCCCCATTACGTCAAGGTGACAGCACATGGGACAAACCTGTGAGAGTGAAGACAGATTCCTAGAGGTTTTCTAAGCATTGGGATCTTTAATAGGTGGACACTAAGAAAGTAGGCAATGCAAAATGAAAGACACAGCCAAGAGAAGCATTCAAATAATCGCATCTCTTATCCCTTGAGGCTTTCAATGTTAATATTTAATTGATGTGTGACCTTGACCTCTAAGCACCCTCTAAAAGTAAGAGTAAAGAACTAGAAATTATAACTAACGTGCACATAGTACCACATAAAGTTGCAAGTCAGCAATCAGTTCTCCCCATTGTTAATTCAAACCATGGAGCTATAGCCAGGCTATTATCCGGCTCTCATTTTCTCCTTGGCTTGCCAACCGGCATTTCACACCCCTGGTGAACCACTACAAGCTCTTGATCTCAAACTTTGTTAAAATATGGCTGGCTGACTGGCCCATTGAAATGTGCAAACTTCTTACATAAATTGCAAGAGACACAGAGGAGGTGAAATGATAGGATTAAACACCTTGTGAAAAGGGAAATCATGATTGAGAATAGTATTCAGAGATTTAAAGAGTGGCAATCTCATTTTAGACACTGTATATTTTAAGAGTAGAAATATGATTGTTTTAAATTAAAATTATAGTAATTTAAACTAATTAGGTATTTTTTTCCCACTAGGAAAACTGCAATGATATAAGCTAGAGACTTCAAAATTTGGGGGATATATAATCTCAGATCAGAAATACGGCTTATACTCTAAATTATAAAAATATGCCTGCCATTGGCACTGGGTTTATCTAATTAAAATATAATAATGCAGGCATTCATGCCAGATACTCACTGGATAAAACACACCAACGGTGGTAGCAACAGAGGCTGGTACCAAACTCAAGAATGGATCCTTGTAGCCCCACAGCAGTTCCTTCAGAGTTCTGGTTTGGAACATAGAAGACTTTGACTTTTTGATGAGTGAATTGAACACCGAATGGAGGAAGGGGCTTGAGTAGACATGAGGTGCAGCCTATGGGAGAAAGGGTTGTTTAAGGCACCACAACAGCATCTGATTTTAACAAGAACGAGTGCACAAAGCACAAGAATTTGGTTTAATAAAGGACTTTGGAACTGACGTTTTAACCCTGTTCCCAGATCACACCTAGAATACAAGTCTGAACAGTATAATGCTGGATAGTGACATCTGTCTGGTTGCCAGCCACGGCCAGATTTCCTGTCCTCTGGATCATTAAGATGCGCAGAAAGCAACTTTGTGATTGATACGATTCTCTCATTGTTCCACATGACTAACCCCGTTCCAAACAATGTGGGAGATATTTTTATAAGAATTGCAATATAACTAATGTAATAATAAATCTGGCAGAACTGGGCAGGTGAGTTCTGCAGTATTTAGAAACAAAGCTTTGTTGTCCTCCTACTCACTGCCACGGCCAGGTTGAGGACTGTGAATGTGTCGTTCTCCATCCCAACGGACATGGACGGCACAAAGATGGCTTCGTTGGGCTGCACAAAAGAGACTGTGTGGTTGGTGGGGTCCTGCATCACGTTCTCCTTGGGCAGGTAGCGAACTCTGAACAAACGAAGATAACAAACTTCAGAAAAGCTGTCGCATGTGAACGTTTGATCTCAAATGCCATCCATTCACTCAGTCGGTCAGTCATACGATTTGAATGTGTAGAACATGTCAGAATGATGCTAAGAATGGGGCTGAGATGGTACATTAGCCCGGCAGGGTCTCCAGCAAATTCATCAGCAGGTTTCCTCAGCTGGCGAACAAGAAGCTGGGAGAGAAGGCCAGAGGGGTTCATAGGGAACCTTTGTTTACACAGTCATTGGAAAAGAGACCAGACAACTCAGTGCCTGGGGTGGTCACAGAGGGGTGAGCGGAGAGATTCATTCTGGTAGCAGGTGCACATCGGCGGTCTAGATACCAAGCACAAGTTCACTTAGGGAGGGCGGGAATAGCATCTACAAAAGAATGTGACCCAGTGGAGGAAATGCACATGCTTGAGTGTGCATGGTAGAGACGGAGTAAACAGCATGATGGGCAATGAAGGCACTGACAGAACCAAATCTGGAACATGATGGGATCCACAGGCACACGGCACCCTCGGTCCCGAGGGCGGAGGGAGGTGGGGCAGGACCGAGTATCTTTTCTTAACCAGAACTCTCCAAGCACATAGGCCATCCAGCACGGCCTTTTGAATACATACACGCATATTCTGGATGCTAGTTCTGCCTTTAGCAACGCCAGGATGCAAAGTACCAAATTCTTTGAGGGAATGTGGGGAGGGATGATGACTTGGAAAAGCAGTTAGCAAATAAAGGGAGCCACTGAGCTCAAGCTTTACATGGCTCATTTCACTGTCATATATTTGAACATCTGAACAGATAACTAAAACAGCACCAGGCCAAAATTAATAAACTAGATTTTTAAATATATATGGAAACGTGAATTCCTACAGCAAGGGATTATGAGCATTTTATATTCCCAACACAGTACTTGATACATAGTGAGTTGTAGCTGCTTATTTCTTTTTGAATAAATTAATGTTTCACATTACTTCAAAAAAGGCTCAGAATCATGCTGAAAGTATATTTACTTTTTAATAAACTTGCAGCAAACTTTTTATTCTATGAGTAAAGTAGATATAAAGAAATAAACGCATGAAACACAAAAGACAGATATGTTCTTTTCTCTTATGTAGCTACTTTAAAGTATGTTTTTAACATTTCAAATCAAACCACTGTACTTTTAAGAACATTTATATATGCATGATAAATGAAAGAAGAGTAAAAATTATGATCCAATTTCACTTTTTAAAATTACACCTACAAGATTATACCAGTAGATGGCACTCACTAAGAGAAAATACGTAAAAGCAAGCTTGGTCTTTAGAATGTAATTTTCACAAGGACAATTTTTTGTTTGTTTCAAAATTTGGAAGTTTACTAAACTGTTGGTTAATAAGGTCAAGAGAAAGACTCAGTTCTAAATGTTGACCAATAATTCTTTAATTCTGGCCAAAGCAAAGATGTCTTTTAAAATGGTTTACACTGGACCTGAAGTATTCTAAAGGAATGACAGTGCTCATGGAGATGCTGCAGGTAGGGTATGGGTGAGCCCTCAGCAACTGATTCCAAAAGATAAGCATCCTCCATTATCTAAGGCATCCAGGCAAACAGAAAAGATGTCATTGTATTGGTACCATGAGACAAGAGGATTCAGTTAATTAGGGATGCCTTTAAAACTGTTACAAAAGAGTTTATTGTATATAAAATTTAACTGTAAATTTTTTCTCCTACTCTCCCCGATTGCTTCTGTAAGCAAGTAAGGGAATTAAACTCATACCTTTGTCTCTGGAGGAGAAAGGTTAAGGACTAATAATATTCTAATAATAAAATTTTTAGTAACTGTCACCTATCAGGGGAGAATTACATTCAATACTATATTCATGTTTCCCCATATCCAAATAATATCCTTATTAAAACTGGAAAAAACCTCAACCAAAAAGCAGAAAATATGATGTTCTCAAATCTAGTAATTATTCTCATTCCTCACATTTATTCATTTTATTCAGGTTGTAATTGTGTAAAACTTTTATGCTTAGGCTTTAGTTGGGTGTTCTATGAGTCCCAGATTTTCTTAGGTGCCCAGCATAGCTAGAACATTCTTGTGGAATGAGAGATTCATACAGGCTCCTGGGAATAATGCAAGATCTATAAGACCATGGGGGGAAAGTGTTGTACAAAGTAACAATTTTTCCCGCTAACAATGAAAATCAAGTCTTCAACACTAGACTAGAGACAGCCAGCTCGGGGACATGGGTAAGACAAGATGGCCCTGGCACCTTTGTCAGCTTATCCATCCCATTATAGTGGAGACACTGCCCTCTAACAACTATCATCTCAATATAATTTGTGGGTCCACTATTAATCTAAAAACATTTAGAAAAGATGGCAATTTGCACAATTACACAAGAACAAAAACCTGCAACAGTGAATTATAAAAAAATACAAATATGAAATTCTGTTATTTGACTATGGCATTATCCTTGAGAGGAAAATCACATATCTGATACACAGGATTAATGATGTTTTCATATGCATGAGCAAATATTCCTCAACTTTGGTTACAGTAGTGCTTTTAGCACCTCAGTTTCCACATTAAATACTTCTGTGGTTGACAAGGAGTCTACAATTTAAATAGAAAATGTATTCAACACTCTTAAGAGCTACCCATTTCTACATCTGTGTGAACACAGACAAGTCCCTTTAGGTCTGTCAATGTGATTTTTATTTACAAAGTGAAAGTCTCTGCTCAGCCATTTCCCCTACTTACACTCTGAGATTCTATTCAGATGTGTTGCACCATGAGGAGATGTAGGATAAAAGTACACAGCGCAATTAATCTCAGCATAAGAGAATACATTAAGAATGAAACTACTACATAAACCCAACTCCCTTTTATGACCTGAAAATTTCTTTCACTATCAGTCCCTAGCAGGAATTATATTTAAATTGAATCAGGTTGGTGCTGTGGTTCTCAAAAGTGAGAGCATATCAGAATCACCCAGAGGGTTTCAAAATCCATTCCTGGGCCCCAACTGGAGGGTCTCAGGCCCACTGGGGATGGGATGGGATGGGGTCTCACTGGGTGAATCCACCAAGTCTCCTGTGGGTGCTCAGGCTATGGACCTGGGAGCCACACGCTGACAAGCCCTGAGAGAAGACACGAATTTACCTTGCAGATCTTTAGTACCTGTACACATGGCCTCCTGTTCAGTGTGCATATTTCAGTGGTTTTGAGACTACAGCCACAAGCGTTGAACAGAAACACCATAATTTCTTAAACTAGGGAAGTTAGGAGATGTTGCTGAAGTCATCATAAAATCTATACATTATAGATGTTTGGGTAATTTACATATATTTCCATTTATGAAGACAGTTATTAAATTCTGAGGTGAGGATCTCATGCCGGTAGAAAACAATACTTCAGGGTACATAAATGGCAGGGAAATGAGTACATGTCAATAGGTAGATGTATCAGCCAGGCAGAAGTCATCTCAGAAACACACGGGGAGCGATGCACCCCGCCTGCGGGGGGCACTCACCTGTACGTGTATGGACCTCTCTGCTTAACCTTTATGTTGCTGCTGTTCATCGCCACTTCATCTGGATTCTGCACATCGAAGATCCAAAACTGTCTGTAAACGTCTGTGCCTGTTTTGACCCAATTTTGAAAAGCGATCGTACCGTTCTCAAGGACGACTTCCTATGAAAGAGAAAACAAGTTTGAGTTATTTCTTTGTGGTACCGACAGGCACTGCTGAGGGTTTGTTTACCATCTTCACTTAGGTGGAAGAAAGCGAGCAGTCCTAAGAGTCTGGCTCGTAAGAACACTTGCTGCTGGCCACACACTTAGAGAAGGAACGTTTCCAAAACCTTATGGCAATTTCTTCGGGTTAACCTCTCAGGAAGAGAATGAGTGTACAGGGTGAGCCAGGGCTGTTGAGCTTAGGGCAAGCTTTGAAGCAATGCCCAGGCAGTGTTGCAGTAGTCAGTCATAGGGTTCATTAATCAAATTTTGTCACAGTTGTTACAGAAGTTCTTACCAGGTCAAATCTGCCATCCCTAAGTAGCTATGGTGATGACGCAAAAACAGAAAAGAGAAAAATCTCATAGCATTGATTTTTTTCTTTTCTTCAGAAGTTGGGCAACTTGGGGAATGACGACTTCTCATTCATTAAATAAAGAAAATAAATCCTATAGGTGAAAAGCACAGGATTCTTTGCATTCCTGATGAATAGTTTCCATATTGTTATTTCAGAAACCCATTACTCCATATCTCCAGAAATTGCAACCAATGCATTATCATTTGCTTGCTACTTTTAAGAGAAGACATGATAAGGAAACCACTGTGTGTGGCTCCATTAAAAATTGTAAATGGTCTTTGCCCTGAAAATAGACAAGTGGAAAGTATACCAATGTGAGCATTTAAAACCCTATATTAGCAACCTGGTCCCTTGCTTCAGGAGCTTTGGGACCAAGTGCAAAGTCACAAACCCCCCGGGTCCATTTCATTATCGGTAAGGTGAAGCAGTTACCATAGATGCTCTCCCGGGTTCTTTCCTGGCCTTTCCCTCTCTGAGCAAGATGTCCGCATTGCCATAGCAATGAGAGTAAACAAAGGAGATTTTTAGGTGGTAGTATTTCTATTTAAGCACCTTGGGAAGACTCACCAGGCTCAAGAGCTCTTAACTTACCTAACATGCAAGCGGAAAAAGAAAGCTACCGCACAGAAAATAAGACTAAACAAACCCACAAATACAGGAACAATCTGACCTATTTTTGTTCCTTCACCAGGAAGAGCCAATTCGTGGAATCATGGTTTCAGGAAGGGACAGAGAACACTGTCACATTTTTTGTTAGAGCACACCGAGAGGGAGTAGCCATGTAGCCAGCCCACCATGGGAACCCAAGGGTGGGAGCATAACGATTAAAACCCCAAATCCTCTGATGCTTAAATTCATTCTCTAGTACATCATGCCATTACTGGTGTTTCAACTCTTTTCTCTGTTACCAACTGCACTTAGTTGGTAGAAGTCATATTAAGATTTGTGTCCCCAGGATGTTATATTGCATAATGCACAGAATTCCTTGGAGAATGACTGGGCATGCAGTTAAACTTCAATTGCAATATCCTGTGCTGTTGCAATCCACTTGTACTGGGAACTGTTACAGTGATGTACCAGTTTTTACTGCTTTTACAACAACTTGTCCTTAAAAACCTTTCATTTGCTCCCCAAAATGCTTATATCCACACTAATAAGCCCCAATATTGAGACAAAAGTTGCCTAAATTATGAATTTTCTTCTAACAGTAGAAGTATGAATATTGCAGTTAACTGCATAGGCAATGTCAACTGTATTAACTCCTCTACTTTTAAGGTCTCTGTGAAAGAAAAAAATTCTTCACACCCTATAAAATGCTGAGGCCTGATGCAGTCTTATTTATCTTGTGTCCCTCAAAGTACATATTTTAGCTTAGTCTCCAATAATTTCTCACAGAATGGAGAAGAGTTTGGGATAGAATGAGTCTGACCGAAGAGAACACACCTCTAAGTCTCCAGTATGTCCGTCCAAATCCCAGACGACATCCTAAGTGTATCATCCCTTTTTCTTTTAACAGCTATAAATCACTTGATTTCTTGCTTGAGTTTTAATGGAAAATTGAAACTTGAAAAGTGGAAACAAATGCAGGAACTAAGCAAGTGTTTAGAGTTAGACCATCTAACATTTTGGTGTAGAAAATGGATCCATTTAAAACAAGTGTCTGATTCAATGCTATTTGATACTTGTGCAGCAGAGAATAAAAAAAAAAAAAATCAGGTATTTTTCCTCCACTCTTATATACTATCTATAATTTCATGATGTAGTCAAAGACAAAAATACTGAATTAAGCAAAAGAATGCAATTCTTCTGATGCTAATGTGTGGTAGAGAACTGCTTTGCTACTCCTTGAATACCAATATTCAATGCCTGTAAGATGTAATTTTAAAGGAGAAAAATAATGTATGTCCTTTGTGAATTTCAAAGAGCCTCATTTTAAATTAAATTGGACTGTTAGCCAATTTTGCAAATCTTCCACTAAATTTGAAGTACAAAGCTGATAATTACGTACACAGAAAAAGCAGTATAATCTAAGATTCCCTCACTCGGTTAACATGTAAATCAGTATTTGCCCCAGACACTGAGTGTACCGACCGTCTAGCTCCGGTAAGGGCGGGGTTCCAGCCTGCTAACTCACACGCTGCTCTCTCTAGCTGGGTTGAAAGATGCTGACCTTGAAATTCCTATTCTCCCATGCCAATTTGAAATCAGCTGTTTGGGACAGCAATATCTTCTTGACTATCACTGTTGAATGAAAAACAGTTTCTCTTCTGCTTAACCGGCATCATTTAGGGCAATCATTAACATCCCCCTCGTGTATGCCTGTGTAGAGAAAGCAGAGCACAAAGACGAAAGCTTCTGCGTCCTTTCGCCAGAACGGCGCCCAGTACCAAGAGACAGAACTGGGCTCCGCGGAGTTCAGCTGTGCGTGGGAGCCCGTGACTTCCTTCTCGGCACCGGGAGGGGAGGTGGACAGAGAGACTGGACGCTATTTGCTCCAGCTGCAGTTTGGTCACTTCATAACCATGTAAAATGTGCAGTTTACTTAATTTCTTCCTGTCTGTTTCTTTATCCATAGAATCATTTTAGTTTGAATCATATGAACTTTATATTTTTGAAAGTTAAATCACATTGAGTATTAACTTTTTTGTATGGTTTAAATCTGTATGAGCGTTAATAAATGGGACTACTTGGAGCAGTATCAACATAGTGGACACTCCGTAAATGTTACTGACTAGTATTATGCAAGCCCTAACCTTTCTGTAGAGGGAGGACTGTAATATTCCCCTGGCCCTGTACATATTGCTTTCATTGCTTGGCTTATAGTACTCACTGTCTAACCCATCATGTGCCAATAATTCATGCAGCGTCCTGTGACACTTTTCTCTGGCTATCTAATTACTTTTATATTTATTGCTGCTCCATTAAAATAAACATCTTTAAAAACAGAGACATACTGAAAAATACCTGTCCTCCACTAATATAAAATATGCTTCAGAACTAGTTCTGAATGGAACAAGTTCTCCACAGTGTAGAGAAATTCTCTGACATGTACACATCATGTGGGCTGACCAAAAGGAAGGAAGTCGTGATACTTGTGCTGGGTTAATAAACAGCACTAGTTTGGAATTAACATCCACAATCAAAACACAGAATAAAATTTGCTAAAATTTTGGAATAGTAAGCTTTAACGTGTTTTAGAGACTCCAGAAGCTAGCCCCTAAGAATTTGTGAAAGAACTGAAAAATGGGAGCTATTTAATCTGGCATGAAAGGTAAACAATATTGATATTAAGTTGGGGTGGAAGAAGAAATCTACATATACTTGCTATTTGTGTATATATGTAT